CTGAAGACATTGTAGTGGATGCTTGTGCTTTCTTGTCTGCTTGTTCGCTGACACCAACAAGAGTGGTGTCTGCCCAGCGAATGGTCAACCGTAGCCCGTTGCCTGCTTGCCGTGTACCAAAAAAACACGCGTCTGCTTTGTTACTCGGCACCCACAGGCACAACCGCAGGCAGACAGGAGCTAATCTAAGTTCACAAGTTCGATGTAAGGTCGCAATAGGAGACCACTTCTGGGCAAATCAGAGGCCGCACTCGACAACACCTGCTTGAAGCTCTTTACGCACTTGCACTAATGCCACGAGGAACAAAAACTGGCGCCACACTATGAACAGGCTTTTAATGACACGTCACTGCGGTGCTTTACTGCTGTGCCCACTCTGATGCCCAGATGTGGTGCCACACGCTCGCCGCAGCCCGGGCCTGGCTGACCCTCCTGGCTCCGCGCCGTCGAAACGTATGGGAACTCCCTCAACACGGGTCATATCAACGCTTAAAACTTTCTAAAAGATTTTGAAAAGAAACTATACACTGACCGGCGCCGTGTCCTGGCTAATGATTCAGCGATGTTTAGACTAAGGCAGCGCACCTGTTCACACTCACGCACGCACTCACACACACACACACGGCGTGGCGGGGACAGCGCGACACACGCACAGGCGAGAGACAGAGCGGCCGCACCTCAGCACGCCGCGGCAGGACTGGCGAGGCAGGCGAGCACAGCTGACTGCCTCGCCCGCCGCTCCTGCCGCCCGCGCTCTGCGAGGGCTGCCGGCCATAGATTATCGTCTCCTTTGATTTATTGCCGTAGATGAACGTGATGAGATGAGCCAGCGATGCGGACTGACTCGTGCCCATCATCCGAGGCTGCCGTAGGCCTTGCCATAACGCAGGTGAGCCAGACTAATTACGGGAAGAAATCGCCAGCGAAACTCCCCAGCACCTGCCAGGCCGCGGGACCTCACCGCCTCCTCACAACTTTCCCAAAGCGCGCGCGCGCTGCCTCACAACTTTCACTTATTTTTCCCCTTGTCAAGACGAGTTTCCGCTGTACTCCTCCAGGATTTCCATACACGCACATCGAAACGACGAACGAGCACCTACTTTCTCGGCGGCAGCCTGCCCCGCTCGCCGAGACACAAGCCACCTGTTGTTCCATATCCGCCGCGCAGTGTTGCATTTCTTATTTGCATTGCGCCTGCCACGCTGTCGCAGCAGCGCCGCCCTCTTTCCCCTCTTATTCCCTCTCCCCTTTACCCTCTTCTCCCTTCTCCTGCTTCCTCTTTATTCAATTCTGGAAACCGGATTGCAATACCTATCACGGTGATCTGCGAGATAATTCGCTAATCCTCAATGGAAATGCCTGAGGTCCTTGTCAGCGCTCCATGTCCCCTCCCGTTCGTGCCGTTGCGTGTTCCGAGTATTTCATGCTTCCCTTTTATTTCCTTGTATCTCCTTTTTCCCTCGAATCTCTCCCTCCCCCATCATCATTTCACCATCCTCTTATTATCCTTCCCAAATCCGCTATTCTGTTTCTCATTCCCTTATCATCGCTATTCCCTTTTCTATCTTCTTCCTTCCTCACTATCCTTTCCTAACCTGTCCCTGAGCTCACGAGGGATTATTTGTGATGTATTGTATGAAACCGCTTTTAGCAACGTGTACGTATTCGCGAATCACACCTGGAACACACCTCAAACTTGCTTGTTTGACGTAATTTGCAGCCTCCACTTCTCTCCCATCGCAAGATCATATTGATTCCTATTCCTCCTTAATCCTTCTGCCTCCCTTTCCCTCTGCCTCTCTCTCTCTCCAACTACCCCCCCTCCTCCCCATCTATCCCCCCACCCATCCCCTCTTCACCTTCCCCCACGTAAACATCAAAGCTGATCGTTAATGACGTCACCCTGTTTTGTTTTCCTCGTACTGTGTCGTCCCATCTTTCCTCCGTCAGTCGCTCGCTCCCTCACTCCCATTCCTTCCTTCTCTCTCTCATGAAAAGTTCTTGTTGTGTCCACTATTTCGCTCCTCTATCTGTTTATCGGATTCTGTTTTGGGCTGTCTATCTGACTTTCTCTCTGTGTCTGTCTGTATGTCTGTCTGTCTCCTGTCCGTCTCTCTGTTTTTGTCCCCCACTCTCCCTCTTTCTTCTCTCTGTTTATCTATATCTGTCCATCTGTCTGTCCGTCTATCTATCTACCTATTCATCTAACTGTTTGTCTATTCACCTTATCTGCTTATCTCTCTCTCTCTCTCTCTCTCTCTCTCTCTATCTATCTATCTATCTATGTCTTTCTGTCCTTATGTTTCTCTGTCTCATTCTGTCTCTTCGTCTCTGTATCTTTGTCTCTGTCTGTCTGTCTGTCTGTCTCTCTCTCTCTCTCTCTCTCTCTCTCTCTCTCTCTCTCTCTCTCTCTCTCTCTCTCTCTCTCTCTCTTTCCCTCTCTCTCTCTCTCTCTCTCTCTCTCTCTCTCTCTCTCTCTCTCTCTCTCTCTCTCTCTCTC